GATTAAATTACAGATCTCTTTACGAAACCATTATCACGTTCTTTGTTTGAGCAACATCGTGACAAGCTTCGGCTTCGTTCCTCTGCACCATTATCTCCTGGGGGAGTATTAGCGCAGTAACAGGATATTTACTGGCCAAGAGGATTAGGCCATATATTAACAGAATTATATTTCAAATATACTTTGTATTTGAACTTAGTCTTTGATTTTGTAATTTTCAGTTTAAGGTGCAACCTAGTACGTAGGAATTTCAGTTGTAATTCTTGTATAAATTCTCTGTTTCTGCTGTATATGAAATACAGAAAAAAATACAACAGCATTTGAGAGTTCTTTCAATAATACAATCGGATTTTTGACTCCAATTAATTTTCTTTTTTTTTTTTTATATTCTTGATTTATCCATTATGCTAATTTGGTTGATTTTTTATGCTTTCCTTTTGTGTAGCAACTATATTTCGATTCATCTTCTTTTTCCAAGAGTTTTATAACTAGATGTTGAACCCATTTCATATGACGGGAGTTGCCGGCATATTGTATTGGGCACTGCTCTGCTATGCACTATTCATAGTGTTATTGTAGAAAAGACTTTATCTGAAGATGGTGATGGTGTAAACACTTTGCATACCTTTAAACCAACTCAATCTGAAGAAACTTATTCAGTCGTCACTGCCAACCACTTTTGGTCTCAAATCTTTGGATTGCTTTTTCTAATAAATGTTGATTATATTTCTTTATGTTATCTATACCAGTAATCGATTTATAGATGAGTGCTCTTAGAATAGTCGATTTGACTTTCAATCTATGTGCCTATGACTTTGCTTCTCAAGAAATCTATAAGAGGAAAATCCTGAATTCAGACTTTCTACACTAAAAATATTCTCTTACTTAGCTCTCATAGTTGGGTAGTGAGAGAGCAATACTAGAGTTAGGAAAGATATGTTAGGTAGTTACAAGGTAAGACCACTAAGGACGCTAATCAAGCATATGTTTTTGACGATCAATAAAAAAAGGGGTTGCTAATGATGAAATATTATAAAGTCAAGGTAAAAGGCCTCCTTTCTTTGTATGAAATACTAAAAAGGGGTTACTAGAAAGACCTCTACTACAGTGGAAAGTAGCATGAGAAAGTATGAAATACCTATTTGCTAGTTAAGTAAATCCTTTGTAAAGTGTATTCCTTGGCAGTACGGAGAGTTGTATTTATAAGGAAGTCTCAAGGCTCCCAAGTACATGATTGTTTAGGTGCATGCAAAATGAGCTTTTTTTTAATGCTAGCCTGTATGTGAACTCCTTTCCATATCTTGGAGAAGGTATGCAAGCAAGTCATTTGTGCTAAAAAGTTCTTGCCTTTTATTTAATAGGTAAGATACGAGGCAAGAAATTGACAGAGAAGCAATAGTCTAAAAGACATTTTTTCAATTAAAAGTTCTCCTCTTGCTTTTCTTGGATTGTGTGATTGCCTCGCTAAGAATCCATCTTTTGATTTTGAGGTTCCTACTTTCACCATTCCCCTAGCATTTAATTAATTAACTCTTGTTCTGTAACAGACTGATTTTCTTTTAGTATCGGTAATAGTGATTTACCGGTCTGTGAATAGTACCATCGGTCCGGGACTTGGTATTATTTTAGTCCTGGTCCGTACTTTCCCATTTCCCCTAGCATTGTAATTAATAACTCTTTGTTCTGTAACAGACTGATTTATCTGTTTAGTATCGGTTAATAGTTGATTTACCGCGTCTGTGAAATAGTACCATCGGTCGGGACTTGGTATTTATTTAATAGTCCGAAAAATTTACTTATGGCCTCCTTATAGAAAAATCTTACCACTTTTCGTTAATTTGTTGATTCTAGCTTTTTAATAAGTGACATAAGACGGTGCTCCGACGACATTGCTGGCATGGGACTTGGTATTATTTTAGTCCGAAAAAATTACTATGCCTCCTTATGAAAATCTAACCACTTCTAATTTGTGATCTAGCTTTAATAAGTGACATAAGACGGTGCTCCGGCACCGACTGTGGCATCTGCCATCTGGTTCTCGGGGATTGGCCCGTGGGTGTTGCATGTTCAAATCAAATAAGGACCAATTCCTTACTCTAACAAGTAAGCAAGTATACTACATTTGCCCTTCTCCTTTTTATAAGGATAAGGAGAGGAAGAAGAGAGTGTCTTGACTTGCTCTCTGTGTCTTTGACCAATTCCCGTAGTCTTATAATAAATCCCTTTTCATCTAGTCGCACTTTGTGGCTAAGTCGATCATTGCAAGCCTTCAAACTCTTCTAGTCTTTCTAGTTGCATCTGAATCAACATCCTTATCCATATTTTTATGCGTAGGGGCACCTAGATTCGAATTAGTAGAATTAATTAATTGGAGAATCCCCATCCACATCCAAATTGGCTAAATATGTATAGTAGGTGTTGTTACAATGTGGGAATAAAATTTTTTAAAAGAAATAAGGATGCAACCTAGAGAGGAATGACTGAAAGAAGAAGAAAGAAAGCTCAAGTTTGTGAAAATGTTTTAAGAGGGAGGAATGACGAAAACTTAGAAAAAAAAGAAGATTGAATGAATTATCCCAAACCTGCCTCTACCACCTCGCATAAACCATTTATGATGGCAGCATCTAGGTGGATTGTGGTGCTACCATTCCTTTTGGATACCTGTCAATTTCAATAAAAACTCTTCCCCTTAGTTTTCCCCTTAGTTTTTATAGATATTAAGTTTGTAAAGCAACTTAACTTTATGTATGGACTTTACTTTGTTGGTTAAGCCGAGTTATAATAGTTCAATCCACAAAGGAAGGACAATTGACCGCAAAACCATCGTTAGGTGGCTTTTTACTCCTTTAAGACTTGTTTCTTGTTTTTCTTTTACCCTTTATCCCCTTTTATATCAATAAGGAGCTACGAGCAAGTTTGCTCCAAAAAAAAAAAAAAAAAAAAAAAAACTTGTCTCTCAGCTATTTATCCAATGTAAAGCTTCCTTTGAGTGACCCATTTAATGTTTTGCTCACATTTCAGAGACTTTTTATAGAAGGTAGAATTAAGTTTCGCTAATACACGAGAGCTAAAAATATTTCCTTATATCCTTTTAATCATGTAATGGGTCGAATAGCTCTTACTCGATGTTTCTCGGTATATATCATTGTCCGATTTATCTAAGTTCGATAATTCCTAAATGAGAGGGACATAATTGACCACGCTCAAAACTCTATAATGCTACCCGTTAGGTGGACATCATAATTACTCCTTTAAGACTTGTTCTTTTTTTTCTTTTTACCCCCTTTTTTTATCCCCGTTCCCATATATCATATTAAGGAGACTACGGTAGCAAGTTTTGCTCCAAAAGTAAAAGAAAAAAAAAAAGAAGATAAAGGGCATGTGCCGTTTATCCCCACATTGATCACGCTAAACATCCTGGCAAAGCCCCCATTCTTTTGTTGCTACCTCTCAAAGGTGCGACAGTGGGTAGTGAGCGGATCTTCATACAACCTATGGGCTCTTATTCGCAAGAATCGGATAGCATACACATCACTCCTGACCATGAGGATAAAAAAATAATAAAGAATAAAGAAGACATAAATAAGAAAGCGATCAGCCCATACTTCTACTACCTCTTAATGAGGACCACTTGGGTTCCAAACTAAGTTTGAAATAGAAGTTGAATACCAGCTTTGATCAGCATACATTCTTTAATCAAAATTAAAGGGCGTACGATAACGGCAAATAAGAGGAAATTTCAATTCCAATCTAAAATTGTGTTTAACGTGTTATGGTTTTATCTTCTTTATTACTCTTTAACTTTACAATAGAGGACTCTTATTTTAATTTTTATAAAGATTAAAATCTGCATAGATTACATTAATATGAATAAATAATAATAAGAGGATTTAAATAGATAAAAACATACACCAAATTTCAAGTTGCAAGATATTTTTATTAGGGAAAAATTCACATTAATCATCGTCCAAAAAAAAAAAAAAAAAAAAAAAAAAAAGAGAGCCATACTATCTCCTTTAATGGAACCATGGCCAAATAAGCATGCAACAGAGTTGAATGCTTTTGGATTAGCCATTACATCTTTAATCAAATAAAGAGGGACAATAACGGCAAAATAAGAGAAATTTCAATCAAATCTAAAATGTGTTTAACGTGTATGGTTTTATCTCTTTATTCCTTAATTACATAGGGATTTTTAATTTTTAATAAAAATTAAAATCGAAGAATTAAATATGAATAAATAAAAATTAAGAGGTTTAATAGATAAACTCAACAATTTCAAGTGCAAGATATTTTATGGGAATCACATTAATCATCCCTGAATTCAAAACTACAGTCAAACCCAGCTTTATCCTGCTGGGTTTGACTGAACAATTACCAACTGCCCTAAATAATTGAACAGAACATGCCCTCTAAATTTATCTTTCTCATTAAATTATAAAAAAAAGATAAGTTAACAAAAGAAAAAAGAAAAATATAAAATTCGAAGGGGCAATTTCGTAAACCTGGACAAACAAACCATACACGTCATCGTTTCTCGTAATTCTAGTTCTAGAAATAGTTTTTTTTTTTTTTTTTCTTTTTGAAATTAGTTCTAGAAATAGTATCAGTAAACCGTAGTATCAGACCATTTCTTCTACGCGCCAACCAAGACCAAGCTGTACCCTCCACGTGTACACCCCGAAAGAATGACCGTGTCTTCCAAAATCACAGCCGCGTAACGGTAACCAACAACCCACCCTTGTTCATAGATAACGACAGTATATTCCCATCCAACGGTTCTCATCTAAATCAATCCAACGGCGCATATTGATTACTGCTACTCGTACAACGTAATTCGTGTTCGCTGCGTGTTCACTTCGCGTAATATGAAGTGTTTTACTAAAAACAATTGAAGCTGTTAAGTAAGAAACATTAAATTAATCGTCTAATTATGGTAATTAATTTTACCTTTTCTTTTAGAACCGAAATATCAACATTATATAATCCCCTTCGCTTCCATTAGGGTTTCTCATCTTCTTCTTCGTTTCTCTCTTTCCAATCGACTCCTCCTCTGATATGCTACTGTTGAAAACTTAATCACTTCAAATTGGACTTAAATAAACGAAATTAGGGTTTTGAGAATGCCAGCTACGGATTATCAAGGGTCATCTGCTTCCTTTGGCCGTGCAATTTTGAGTCTCCGCCGTGACCAGGTTCATTCGATGGAGGCTACTCATGAGATCTCCGGTCATGAAATGGAACTTGAAGCTTTTCAAAGGAAAGTAGCAGAAAGGTTTATGGATCTATCTGCAGTCGGATCGGATGATTTGCTTTCTTTATCTTGGATCCGAAAGTTGCTTGAGTGTTTCCTTTCTTGTCAAGAGGAGTTTAGAGTTATTTTATCGAACAACAAATCGCTTGTTTTAAAGTCTCCGTTGGATCGGATGATTCATGAGTATTTTGAGCGGAGTGTTAAGGCTTTGGATCTTTGTAATGCGATTAGGGATGGGATTGAACAGATCAGAGAGTGGAAAAAGTTGATTGAGATTGTTCTTTGTGCTTTGGATAATCAGAGAATGTTGGGAGAAGGTCAGTTTCGTCGAGCTAAGAAAGCTTTGATTGATTTATCTCTTTCCATGCTTGATGAGAGAGATACTGCTGTCTTAGCTCACCGTAACCGCTCTTTTGGCCGGCAAAATGCTGCGTCGTCTAAAGACCAACATCACAGGAATCTTGGCCATTTTAGATCATTGTCATGGAGTGTGTCGCGGTCCTGGTCGGCAGCCAGGCAGTTACAGGCGATTGGGAATAATTTATTAGCACCCAAAGGAAATGAAATTGTAGCTACTAATGGTATTGCAGTTGTTATTTATACTATGAATTCAATTTTGCTGTTTGTAATGTGGGCTTTAGTGGCTGCAATTCCTTGCCAAGATAGAGGATTGCAAGTGCATTTTTCAATTCCTAGGAATTTTACATGGGGTGCAGCTATACTGTCTTTGCACGAGAGGGTGCAGGAAGAGTCGAGAAAGAGGGATAGAAGAAATGCTTGTGGTTTGTTAAGGGAGATTTATCAGATGGATAAGTGTACTAAAGGGTTGACTGAATTAGCTGATTCAGTTCAATTCCCTTTGACAGAGGAAAGAGAAGCAGAGGTGAGACTAAGAGTGCAAGAGCTGGGAAGGATCTGCGAAGCAATGAAGGAAGGATTAGACCCATTGGAAAGACAAGTTCGAGAAGTGTTTCATCGGATTGTTCATAGCCGTACTGAAGGGCTAGATTCTCTTGGTAGAACCAATCACAATGATTGATTAATATCATCGTTTGTTGTAAGTATTGGATGGATGCCATGATTTTGAGGTGCAAAAGAGGCTGATTTGAGGCATGCTTTCACAATAAGAAGGGTAAGGGGGAAAAAAAAAAAAAAGAAAAAAACAATCTTGTATTTATCAACAAATATATTGTGTAAAGGAAATTTGTAGGATATGAAAATTGAGACTCTTTGTGGTCCATGGGGCTGATCTCCAGCTAGCTGTTGCGATTGTATAATCAAAAATTTCTTAGTAAATTGCTTCTTGGTGTGGTAGCTGACTTTGCATTTGCTATGTTTGATTCTTTTCGTTTTTGTTTGTTAATGGCATCCATGCTTCTTGTTTTCATTGCAATGACCAGTTATGTTTGTTAGTCTCGATTAAACAATTAGATGGTTGAAGGATGATATAAACATAAAGTTTTTTCAATTTTTAATGTGATCAAATCTTCTGTTTCATTTCTTGTTTGTTGAGCTTGCAGGTCATCAAATTTGTCATTTGTTTAGCTTGTGCTCATCCTTCCATTTGTTCTACAAAGAAATGGTGGCTGGCCTCTATTTTATACGAGCCATATCATTTAGAGGTGATTGCCTGCACCAGAAATCCAGCTGCTGCTTTCTAAAATATTTCAGGATTATTTAACTGGGGAATGCTGCATCCATTAACTGGTTTTGTAAGGCATTCGCCTAATTTCTTTATGTATGCTCTTATCCTCTCTTACCTTTGTTGTCTCCGCAGGAGATGACAGAGCTAGATCTTGTTTGTCCTCTCATATATTCTTTATATATCACTTTAGAGGTGCATTGCCTGCACCAGAAATCCAGGTGCTGCGTTCTAAAAATATTTCAGGATGTATTTCAACGGGGGAATGCTGCCATCCATTAACTGTTTTGTAAGGCATTCGCCTAGAATTTCTTTAGTGTATGTCTCTATCTGTGTTACCTTTGTTGTCTCCGCAGCGAGATGACAGAGGCTAGATCTTGTTTGTGTACCTCTTCATATTCCTGGTTATATATATTTATAATATTATGAGTCATATATTACTCAAATTCCCAATTAATCTCGACTTTCCCTTTTTGTTTTAGCTAGTTTAGGAGTAAAGAATTACAATTATTGAATCTTTCCTCTTCCATATATATAATTCCAATAATTCGACTTTTCCCTTTCTTTTAGCAATTTAGGAGTAAAGAATTAAATTTTGAATCTTTCCTTCAATTTCTTAAGGTTCTGACCGTGGAAAAATTTCTGCTTGCATTTTCGCAATGCTGTCACTCATCTATTGCATTCAAAGCTCCAGCTTTCCTTTGGTAGACAGGTTCATTTGTGATTGATTTGCTGGCATATTGAAGTTCATTGATCTTATCATGTTCTTTTTTATGTTAATACAAAAAAACAAAAAAAAGGTCCAATTTCATAATATAATATCGTTGAGCTGGAGTCTATTACATCTTTTATTATAGTTGACTTTGATTCAGTCTCAATTGATGTCCCTGAAAATTGCATCTAGAATAGAAGTTCTGCAGTGATTGCATCTAGAATAGAATTCTAGTTTTGGTGGGATAAATTTTTTATTCCTTTTTTGTGCATCCTTTTCTTGACAAGAACATAGTAGTAGTACACTTAAAAATGCAATTGAATCTATTCTGTTTGGAAAAGATTACATGAGCTAAGTTCTTGATTTTGAGTGAAAGGTATACCTGAAGCAACACTCTGCTGCTTACCCATGCTTTCGCAGAAAAGACGACTGTTATGAACATCACTGAACTACATCAGATTAACAGTTTCTGTTAATTACCAAGAAGAATAGCCATATGAAACCATTGAGAAATCTAATATTAATGAATGGATTTTTCACTTGGATTGCAAGGAGAAACATTATTGAAGTGGTAAGAATGTTGGATTAAGATGTCGGTACAGTAGATAGAGTCCAAATTTATTCTGATTTTTACATGTCAACTAGCATTCACAAAACTGTCTTGACCTCTAGTTTTATGATACTTCGCTTCAATGTAAGGATTCTAAAGCTTCTGTCACACATTTCTCTACCCCATTTCTCTTTTTGTCTATTATGATCTGTGGTCAGTCTTTACTTTATCTTTGCATTATTCTTTTCCATCACCATCTAATATGCCCTTCCCTTTTCATAAGCGAAATTAGTTATCTTTTCTGCTGAAATTACTAGAACAAGAACACTTGACAAATGGGTTAGGTACCTTTATAAAGGAAGAAATGCTTTGTTGATGCTTGTAGTTTAATAGGTTGAAGTAATTTCTTGCTGGAGCAATCTACAAAAGTGACGGTGCTCTTTAATCTTCGGGCAGGATTTTGATATTAAAACTTTTACCTTTCATGTGAAAAAAGTGGGCATAATAACAGATCCAGATAGGTCGTTGAGGTATATTTAGTTATAGTGGTTCTGAAGATTTGTGCTGTTGCTTTCAACCAGGCAGCAAAATGTTACTAATTATTAATTGGCACTTGACATTCTGGCCACCAAGAGACCTATTCGTTTTGGGTCAGCGGTAGAATTGACTATAAGGGTAGTACTAGCTTTGTCCAGGAGTTTTGAGACTTTGAGTCAAGAGTCAAATAGTACAGGAGTCATGAAGAACTGTAAAATTGCAAACTATTTGTGCTTGATCCCACCTGTGTAAGCTTTCACTTTAGATTGTCGGCAAGCTCATTTATCTACTGAAAAAAAACACAAGTACGGATGTGAGTAATTGATGGGAGCGGGTATAAAGCGGAAACAACCCTTAACGAAACCATATGAGGCAAATTAAAAACATTATCGAACAAATCAATAAACTGACCTCTTGAAGCGCAGCTGTATCGTGGAATCGGTTGGTATGCTCATTGATGGGAGGGCGGGTATAAAGCGGGGAAACCCTTAACGAAACCATCTTATTGAGGCAATATCTAGCAATAACGATTATCGAAACAAATTCAATTAAACTGACCTCACGTGAAAGCGCCAGAATCGCTCACTCCCGGATCTTCTTTTCCAGAGATCTTTGAGTCACCCCTGATCGATCTCTCTTTTGCAGCAGTAATATCACAGCCACCTCTCTCTAAACTATCTTCTTTGGAATCTTGGATCTAGTGTCATACTGTAGAGATATGTGATCTTCACATTCAATGAACGTGCGTCATAACTCTATTCTTAGAGGTTTTCCAATCCTCTATATTAAAAAGAACGTTCTCATATTCAGATAAACGTGAGATATTTCTTTTAATATAAAAGTAAATTCGCTAATAAATAATTATTTAATTAAAAATAATCAATCACATTTATTTTAAAACTAAACTCAATTTACTCTACTGTATTCTGACACGCCCGTAACTTTCCCAAATATATCTGGGACACTACCAGGACGCGCAGAATAAAAATAAAGTCAGGCTTACTAATTATAATTAAGAACCTATTTGTAGACCACATATTCTTAATTATAATTAATCATGAATTATTCTCACTAAAACTCATGACTGACACTCCCGCTCTCTCTCTTCTTACAGATTTTACATGTTCCCCACGTTTAAGATTGAGCGAAGATGCTGTCCATTTTAAATAATCTTACGGGGACAATTTTAGTTTAATCACAATTGAACTTTGAAGAGATTGGTCGCATCAAACTTATTTCACCAGCTGTAGTCGAGCAATTCAATATCCACCCTAGTCGAGCGGTTTACACTATGAAACACTTATCAGCACTTTACTTAAAGTTTGCCATATCTATCTCTGAAACACCGAGACATGAATTCTACAGCTTAAATTAATATTCACAAACACAAAATAATCTTTGCCCAATTCACCGGAATATTAGGTTCTCCAATCAATAAAACTACCCTTTAATGAATCAAGCACAAGGGACAATCAATGTATTGACTCATATTAACAATAAACTTCAAGATTGAAGAACAATAATCATATTTCTAACTGTCTAGAGAATAGTTTACACAGTCATAGTACTAACATCATTCTCTACTTGTCAATTAAATACATACCAAAATGTACTAATTCCACCATTTTGTTCATATCGCTAAATAACATTTATTTAATTGCAAATTTTTCCCAAATTAAATACAACAGAAATAATTTTCAATAGAAAATCATCATAAGCTATACTCATTACATATTGCGATGTGTATAGTTATATCTCTATCACAGTTAATATGGGGTGGGTTAAGGCCTACTCGTTTAGGTTACTTGCACTCTGGATCGTAATTATCTTACGGTTTACACTGATTTTAATAATATTAGTCTAGCTCACTTGAGTTAGTTTGCTTGATTTATCCAAGTATTTTAAAAATTACAACTGTTATTCATGTTAATTTCTCAGGATAATTTTACTCATTCAAGTCTTGAACTTGAAATTTTTTTTTTTTTTTTTTTTTTTTTTTTAATCATTGGGAGGAGGTTGTAATGTCGAAACTTACGCATCTATTTGTTTTTTTTTTTTTTTTTTTTTTTTTTAATATTGGAGGAGTGTAATTCGAACTTACATCTATTGTCAGGTTATGATATACTTATTATTAGGTTATGTCTTGGTATGCAGTTTAAATTTGAACTTATTGAAGCATTATATTAACATTAATATTAAGTTTTTATCTATGTAATGGACTTGACTCAAATGAATAGTAGAGTCATCAATTTTGTAGCTTTGATGTTGTAAATTTGAGTGATGAATTAACAAAATAAAATAAAAAGCATGACACTAAACTACTATGGAGGACACCTTAGATTGCCCGTGTCCTACAGTTGGTCCAAAAGACCAGACTTGGAAGTCTTAGAACCAATTATTCTCTCTCAAATATCAAACTAATAGCATCAAATTTATGGTGCAGTACAGGAATGGTTGGTGAAAAATAACATCCTCTATACAGAGATAGAGGGAGAGAGAAAGCAGGTTTGGTCACTTGCATACCTACCAAAGAAATTGGAGAGGCTGCTACCTGCTAGTACTGGGTACTGGCTGGTCCTTACAACATCAAAAATTAGCTGTCGTAACTCCTAAGCTTTAATTACCAAAAGGTGTTAGACTTGGTACATGCACATAACAGTTGTAAGAATTTATTTTAGATTCCATGTGGTCAATTTCTATTAGCCTTTCTAATCTGCATGTGAAAATGATAGGCCATTATTGCATTACATTTCTATGCATTTTCCCTTTTCCCTCCTAAGTTTTAACCATATTTTTCATTGAAAAAGTCCTTTGTGGTCCGAAATTTTCTTTTCTTTTGCCTTTAATTTATATGCTTCATCCATTTGGCAATGTATTTATATTGGATTTATCAGCTTTTTTTATGAAACCCTCTTATCTTTCAAGTGGGTTCGACAGTGCAGCTGCTGGCCTGGCCCCCCCTAACCTGTCATATATGCATATAAGGGTTTTGCTTAACTTTCTTTTCAAGTGCTCCAGCTAATTATGCAGGTTATTGCCAGCTATATTAGCTGTACAAACCCTATAAATAACATATTTTTCATTTTTGGTTTTAGCTACAGATACCCGGTCCATTGGGCTATTACTAAATTCTGCTTTGAATAAAGTGCTTTCAGAGAGAGTATTTACTCAATTATGGGGAATGAAACCGTCGAACTCACTTAAAGAGAGAAGAGAAGAATACAGAATCACCGCTGATGGTTTGTTATACATAGTATTAGTGTATGGCTGGACTGTACATGGGCCTAACTCAACATATAGAGCTATGCAGACTCCTCTTTAACCCACTTTTTAGCATCTCAGGTGTTGTTAAAAGAAGGTCCAACATTCACTCGCAGGATTAGTATTACAATATTTAATTATATATTCTCTTAGTTTTGCATTAAATACACTATTTGATCTTTATATTTATTTTTCAATTAATTACTAGTAAAATGTCATTATTTATCTCTAATAAATGTAAATGCTGCTTATCTGACGTTTAAATTCGTCTAAAAAGTGAATTATTATTTTGTATCGTACTTATGTTCAAATACACTAATCAAGGTTGATAATGTATCTATAGGATTGTTTTTGTAATTTACTATTTTATTCCTATTTAATATGAATCTTTATCAATAAATATATTGCTACTATCAAGTTTTAAAATAAAGAAAGTTCATATTATTGCCATTTATATTAGTCAATTTTGTAATTTTGATTTCTTTGATTCCTTGATTATATTAATATTAATATTAATACAAGGGTATATTAGAAAAAAATTAAATAAAAATTATAATTTAACCACATTAACTATATTTCTTTAATTTACATTGATTCTTAAGTTTTAGAAAAAAAATAAATAAAAATTGTAATTTAATCATATTAATTATATTTTCTTAATAGCCTTGATTTTGAATTATATTAGTACTAATGTAAGGACATATTAGGAAAAAAATTAGACGAAATTATAATTTAACTATAATAATTGTATTTCCTTCACCTGTGTGAAACAAAGTCAAAGATGACATATTATTTTGCCATAGAGGGACTATAACGAAAAATAAACTGAATTACTATATAATTAAATTCTAAAAATATGAGTCCTGAATTACTATATTGAATATGAATTTTTCAATTTTTTATAATGCTTTTATGTATGATCAAATGCGAGATTTAGTGTGTATTAACCACCGGACTATCCTGTTTTGGATAAAAATATCTACATTTTTTTTTCAATGCAAGACAATGTAAAAATACATGTTTTGGATAAAAATATTTGACTCATCTAGTATGCATTTTTTTAAAAAAAAAAATTAAAGAAGTTAAAAGTTAAAAGAGAGAAAATAAATTTTGTTTGGATCTTTTTGAAATTTATTTCAAGTACAAATATATTATATAATAGTAGTAATATATATCTTAAAAATTTTATTTTACACACTTAGTTTAATGTCGATAGTATGCCAATGAAATTTATTCATTTTCTGAATTTTGATTCCTTCACTTACGATAATACTATCATCACTGCTTTTGTGTTTTTTTTTTAAATATAATTCATTAATAATAAAATCAAGTTTCCAAATAGAACTTATTCGTTTATCCTTCAACAACAAAAGAATTATTTATATTTTTTAAATAATAAAACTAAAACTAAAAGAAACAATATTAGATTTTTCCGCTTGAAGATAACCTTAATCTATATAAATCTTCATAGTAGCAATTGGTCCTTTAATTGATCTTTGAAGATAAGCCTTAATCTATATCAATCTTCATTAATAGCAAATTGTCCATTAATTGATTTTTGGATGACAAAAATAACTTCTCCGGATTGTTCTATGCTTGGATTTTTTCCAAAAACAAAAAAAATTATCTATATTTTTTTAAATAATAAACCTAAAAACTAAAAAAGAAACAATACTTAGATTTTCCGGCTTCGAAGAACTAAAAGAAACAATATTAGATTTTTCCGCTTGAAGATAACCTTAATCTATATAAATCTTCATAGTAGCAATTGGTCCTTTAATTGATTTGGATGACAAAATAACTTCTCCGGATTTTCTATGCTTGGATTGCTTTTCCAAAAACAAAAAAATTATCTATATTTTTTTAAATAATAAAACTAAAACTAAAAGAAACAATATTAGATTTTTCCGCTTGAAGATAACCTTAACCTATATAAATCTTCATAGTAGCAATTGGTCATTTAATTGATTTGGATGAAAAAATAACTTCTCCGGATTTTCTATGCTTGGATTGCTTTTCCAAAAACTTGTTGCATATGATGTACACGGATGAGTTTAATCCATTATGTGTTAATAGTATCAATAGAGGAACACGCCGCACTGCTAGGCTCCATTGATCGAAGATACACATGATTAAAAAAAAATCTAAATTTTCTAACTAAATAAAATCAAATATCATACCTTTTAAGAACAAACATTCACAAAGAATGAATTAAACTCTTATGGAAGAAGGGACAAAAGAACTCTAAATATGGAGATAAAGTAAGAATAACAAAAAAACAAAGAAAAACAGATTTATTAAAAGAAAATAAATCTGAAATTTATTAAAAACTAATAAAAGATTAAGAGCGAGATGGAAAAAGAAAAGTACGGGGTTACCGCTGATTAACCATAGCATCACCAAACAAAAGCTACTGCTTTTGTGTTTTTAACATAAGTACCGGAATGTAAAATTAAATATTATGACAATTTAAATAAACATTTATATTGTATTCATCAAATCTCTCCGTTTGAAAAAAAAAAAGAGTTATATATTTTTTTTTTATATCTGATTTGTCAATTTTATATTTGAAGCTGGCGAGAAATACACAATTCTGATGCGAAAAAATAGAGTACCTGGATCAAAAACCACTCAAGCTTATGCATTGCTGAGAGTTTTAATATCAAAATAAAGGTTTTATTGTTTCCAATAATAGTAAAGAAATAGATAATAATAATAATAATAATAATAATAATAATAAGAATAATAAATTTATCTTCTTTTAGCTCTAATAAAACGAATGACAAGCACAATAAGAGAAACAAGGATAGCTGAGCCTGCAACAACAAGCGGTTGGCGTAGCTTAGATCCTTTTGTAACGACTTTCTCTATTGTAGTTATTCTGTCAATCACCTCTTTTTCTTTCTTCACTTCTGGTGATTCGTCCTCCTCGTCGACTTGTTTTTCTTGGTCGGTTCTTTCTTCTTCAATCTCATTTCCTATTTCTTGCCCTTGCATATCAGGCTCACTTTTTTTGGGTTCTTCAACTGTTTCCTCAGGTTCTTGATTTCCTGATTCTGTTGCTTTTTCTAGTTCAGATTGTTCTGGTTTTTTGAATTTTTCTTCTTCTACAATCTTTACCTTTTTCTTGGGTTTGATTTTCTTAGATTCTTGAATTTTAGTTCGTGCACCTGTTGTTATAGCAGGAAGGGCTTCTTCTGATTCTTTTTGGCTTATTTCATTTTCTGGTTTCTTTTGTGATTCCATGTTTACAGATTCTTTACTCAAATCTTCCATTTTCTTGAATTCTCCTTCATCAACATCGTTTTCTACAATTCTTTCAGTGTCTAAATTGTTTTCAGGTTTTTCCTGTACCTTCCCTTTGTCTCTTTCAGGAAACATTTCTGACTCCTGAATCTTATCTTGTGGGATTTCATGTTCCCTTCTCTCAATCTCCTTTTCCACAGCTTGTTCAATTTCTTCCTTTTCCTTGTTCTTGGAATCTCTATATTTTTCTTCTGGACTCTCAATGGGTTGATCATTTTGCATATCAATCTCTTGTTCTTCCTTCACTTCTTCAATCTCAATCCCTTGTATTCCTTGCACCAATTTAGGCATAACAATTCTCAAGCTTGATTCTTCGTCGACAAACTTAGCCTTTATTCGATCCAAAATGATCCCATCAGGAATACGAAAAACTTTCCTGAAAGCCCTTAATTCCACATCCTTCTTGTGCATAATCCATCCTGATAACACCATTTCCTGAACTGCCTTCGTCCCACTAATCGCAATTTGATTTCCATCTTTATTGATCTTTATATCAATATTTTCTCTTTTAAAACCTGCAATTACACCATCTTATTATAAGAGTCTGTTTAACATTGAGGTTTAAATTTCTTTTTAGAAAATATCAATTTAGCTATATATATATATAGTAGCAGCTTAGATAGCAATATCAAACGAACTCGAAGAACATAAACACTAAAGAGTTTTGATTCAGAGGTATTAAAGTAATTTCCAGAACAAGAAGTTAAGAATTCATACTTCAAGCATAGCTTAATTGCTAAAAATGAAAAAAGAAGAACAAGAAAATTAAGAACCATAACCTTTGAGGTATGCAATAAGGATGAACATAGTTTCAGTTTCTCTAGACAAGAAGAGAGGACCAGTATGATCTTTGGCGATCCGAAGATTGGTATGAGAAGTGATATCATCTCTATTGTGAGTGATCTTGAGTCCCAATTCTAGCTCCATTTCTCTCTTCACTTCTTTTTTGTTTTTCTGAAAGACAAAGGAATGGGTTAATGATGGTGAGAAGCAAAATAAGGCATTATAAGAAAGGAAAAAAATAATCAAAAACAAAAAAAAAAAAAAACAAAAAAAGAAAGAAAGAAAGGAAAGAGAAAGAACAATTTATTAGTGGCTGGCTTTAGTGTGTGCAGATGAGAAAGGCACATATACATTGCTTCTGAACACAATATTGTAGCCGTGAAGAAGACAATTTAAAAGTCAGTTGCTTCTTTTGCCTTGGCGGGAAGCTAACGGCTCTTATTGATACTGCAAAGCTGGAACATGGTGTTCACGTTTTATAAGATATAATATTTTCCTTAAAAGGGATATAATAAAGAATCATCTATTAATTTTAAGTGATACTTACTCGTAATTTTCCTTTTTCATTCTTTTTCAATTTGGTTCGAATTCAGGTTCCACCCTAATATTACTATCGTGAAAATAATTCAAGTCAAAATTATGTAAATCTCATATTCCTTACCCACTTGTAAAGAACTTGCTTTTTGGGTTTAGACTTTGATACTTGACAATATCTACATTCCATTCTAAATCAGGACTCGGATAAATTTCATTGATACCATCTTTTGCTTTTAGTATTATTTGCTTTCCCTTCTATGTTCATTACTATTTTAAAAAGATTTTCAAACACATTAAGTTGTGTCTTATTAAAAGATTACTCCAATAAGGGAAATCCTAAAAGGTATTGCTTTTTTTTTTTTTTCCATTCACTAATCTTAGCATTGTGTTCCTCAGAGCCCATTTCAGTTACTCTCAAGCCCCAAAGATTCAATTTCTTAAAACTTTAACTCTAGACCTTAAAGGTGAAGGCATATCCAAGACAACCTTATTCTTTCAAAACCAATTTCAATTTTGTATCTGTAGATCATCAGATGGTAGGAATTTGCAAGGATTATCAAACTACAACTGTATGCCACCATTTAGAAGAGTAAATGCATCGGTGTACTCCATGTAATACGGACAACATGCATGGTAAAGGCAGAGAAATTACTTGCAGTCTATTGAAAATTAGCTTTTATTGAGAAATTCTATTTCGTTGAAACATCAAATATTTGAACACCCTTCTTCCGTAATTGTTTCTAATTCTGCAATCAGTTAAAGGTTGATGGCAAACATCAATCTTGTACTTTAGATTGTTTGGAAATCAAAACCATTACGCAAAGAAACATGTGTTGTTCTTCCATACACATATATAAGGCAAATTATATGGTGTAATAATGATAAAAGATGAATATGAAACTCCAACACGGGGTTTAAGCTCTTCATAACTTATTTTCAGAAACATTACAACTTATTGTCATTATACCAATTCATAGTAGATAATGGAGGTAGAAAGAGGGTTGGAAGTGAGATAGGTGATAGCTAGTTTAAGGGTAACGTCACGACCCGAAATCATAGACCGGACCGGCACTAGGGTCCAGGTAAGCATAAGCCCCCGAGGCTTGAGCAGCTTTAGATAAAGAAAAATGGAGAATAAATTATGTTTTGTAATTCTCATTCTCGAGAGTAAAATGATGAGTACAGGGGAATATATATACAGCAAAAGAATATTCTAGATTTCCCCGAAGCTTGAGCAGCTTTATAGATTTAAAGAAAAATGGAGAATAAATTATGTTTTGTAATTCTCATTCTCGAGAGTAAAATGATGAGTTACAGGGGAATTATATATACGCAAAGAATATTCTAGATTTAGCCTTGCTGGCTATAAAAGAATATTCTAGATTTAGCCTTGCTGGCTATTTCTTGTAGGCTACTAAATATTTACAAGATAAGACTAAATTGTGGTGAGACATTTGTTTAACTGAAAAGAAGCCAAGTGTAGGGTGAAGGATGGGTAAATAATGATTGTATGATGATTGGTGATGATTGATAATGATTGGAGATGATGAATATTCTTACAACCCCTCTTCAAGCTGGAGATTGGGATAGTAATGCCAATCCAAGCTTGAAAAAAAGGTTGGAAATGAATGGGTTGGTAAAGGTTTAGTGAATATATCGGCAAGTTGTTGTTTGGATGGGAGATGCGGTGTAGTAATGAAACCTGTTGTGAGCTTGGATCGGACCACATAACAATCAATATCAATGCGCTTTGTTCTTTCATGGAAAACAGGATTTGAGGCAATGTGTATGGCGGCTTTGTTGTCACAATGAAGGGGTATTGGTAATTTGAGTGGTAGTTGAAATTCTTTGAGTAGGTCAGAAAGCCATTGTAATTCACATACTGTTGAGTAGTTGAAATTCTTTGAGTAGGTCAGAAAGCCATTGTAATTCACATACTGTTGAGGCCATGCTTCTGTATTCAGACTCAACAGAAGACCTACTGATTGTTTGTTGTTTCTTCGATTTCCATGAGACAAGTGAAGAACCAAGAAAAATGCAAAATCCGGTTACTGATTTTCTGGTTTCTGCACAGGATTCCCAATCAGCATAGGCAAAAGCTGTAAGTTGAAAATTATTGTTGCAGGGGAAGAATAAACCAGCAGAGATTGCGCCTTGAAGATACTTGACCAGATGTAAGGCTGCTTTGTGGTGAAAAGAACAAGGAGCTTGCATATATTGGCTTAGTTGTTGCACGGCAAATGAGATGTCTGGTCTTATAATTGATAAATAAAGTAGACGACCAAGTAATCTTCGATAAGGTTTTGGATCAGGCAAAAGAGAATCCATATTGGCAGTCAATTTGGTTCCTTGAATATATGGTGTTGGTGTTGGTTTAGCTTCTGTCAGACCAGTGTCTAGGATGATATCAGAAATGAATTTTCTTTGAGACAGAAACATGCCTTCTGAATTTCTAGCAATTTCGATTCCAAGAAAATATTTTGCTTCACCAAGGTCTTTGATTGTGAATTTAGAGTGCAGCAATTGCTTTAGATCAAAAATATCAAGAGGTCTTGAACCCATTATTAAACAGTCATCAACATAAACAAGCAAAGCTAAAAAATCTGCACCTGAAATCTTTGTAAACAAGCAATGATCAGTTTGTGATTGTACAAAGCCAAGAGATAGAAGACACCTGAAATCTTTGTAAACAAGCAATGATCAGTTTGTGATTGTACAAAGCCAAGAGATAGAAGATAGGAAGTGAGCTCTTTGTTCCATTGTCTCCCCGCTTGTTTAAGACCGTAAAGAGATTTGAGTAATTTGCAAACTTTGCCTCTTGGAACATTTGGGTAACCTTGTGGAGGTATCATATAAAGGTCTTCATCAATTTCTCCATGAAGATTAGCATTGTTTATGTGCAATTGATGGACTGGCCATGATTTAGCTGCTGCTACAAAAAGAAGGACCCTCATTGTTGCAAGCTTAGTTACAGGAGAAAAGGTGTCAGTATAATCAATGCCAGGAATTTGGCTATAGCCCTTAGCTACAAGCCTTGCCTTGTATTTATCAATGCTACCATCAGAGTTGTATTTGGTTCTATAAATCCATTTGCTACCAATTGGTTTTTTTCCTTTTGGTAAGTTGTATTTGGTTCTATAAATCCATTTGCTACCAATTGGTTTTTTTCCTTTTGGTAAGTCTGTAATGATCCATGTATGATTTTTTTCTAATGCATTAAGTTCAGTTTCCATGGTAGCAATCCACTTGCTGTCATGTTAAGCATGATTGTAAGAACTAGGTTCTTGAATTTTTGAAACTTGAGCAACAAAATTTAAATAAGATAATGGAGGATTAAAAGAGTATTGAGATATGGTGGTACCTGTAATTGGGCAAGCTGAGACGTTGTCATCGCTGTTGGTAACGGTTGTGGCAACAAAATCTTGGAACCAGCTGGGTTTGGAGTGCACTCTAGTGCTTCATCGAAGCACTGGTTCTATTATTTGCTGTTCAGGTTGTGATTCATTGGTGGTTGTTTCTGTGATGGGTAGGGATGAGGAAGGGGTAGGTACACTGTGATTTTGAGGAGTGGGATTAGGAGAGAAGCAAGGTTGTAGATCATAGTCATCAAGACATTTAGGAAGGGAGAAGGAAGTAACAGATTTTGGTTTGGAGCTGGAAAAAGGAAAAATTATTTCATGAAAAATTGTATCTTTAGAGTGGAAGATTTTTTTGGTTTTTATGTTGTATAGCCTGTAGCCCTTATGTTGACTAGAATACCCCAAAAGAATAGAATGTATGGCTCTACTCTGGAATTTGGTTTTATAGGGAGTGACATTGGTGGCGTAGCATAAGCATCCTATTGTTTTAAAGTAGGAAAGATGAGAAGGTTTTTTATTTAATTTTTCATAGGGAGACAGCCAGTTTAGTGGTTCATAAGGTAATCGATTGGTGATATGTGTTGTGGCTAAAAGCAATTCTGACCAAAAAATTTTGGGAAGGTTGGATTGGTACATTAAAGATCTGTCAACTTGAATGAGGGTTTTGTGTTTTCTTTCAACACGGCCGTTTTGCTGAGGGGAGTATATGTCATGGCCCAGCCCATGGTAAGTATTGTCCGCTTTGGGCCCTTCCGTACGAGGTCACCCTCACGGTTTTGTCCCCTTGGAGTTGCCCCCAAAAGGCGGCATACCATGTTCTTTTCATGAGACCACCCCTATCTTATTGACTGAACAGATTCCTCGTGCTTAACCGATGTGGGGATTTTGCCTAGGTGCACTGTAGCTTTAGATCCCTCACAGTCACCCCCGTAGCGGGACTCAGCGTCCACGACCGAGGTTTGCCCACACCGGTCAGAGGCGAGGCAACGGCTACTGATACCAAAATGTCCATGGCTTCGCCCTGGTTAGTATTGTCCGCTTTGGGCCCTTCCGTACGGAGGTTCACCCTCACGAGCTTATGTCCCTTGAGCCATTGGAAGACAGATCCATTGCACCCAAACGCGCCTAAACCAGTTCAAGACCACCCCTCTTTATGTACTGCAACAGATCCTCGTGCTTAAACAATGTGGGATTTGCCTAGGCTGCACTGTAGGCTTAGATCCCTCTTGTCACCCACGTACGGACTTTCAGCGTCCACGCTGAGGGTTTGCCCCCACCACCCGTCAGAGGGACGAGGCAACGCTCTGTACCAAATG